ACTCCACACACACGCGTGTTTAGTTAGCAGTAAGAAGGAACCCGGTTGTTAGTCGATTGGCAGATCGACTATAAGGAACCCACTGTCAACTGGACTTGATTAGAGGTTGAGTGTTGTTAGAAAAAAAACGATACTGTTTGGGATTGTAACCTTGCTGCTGTTCGTGTACCAATTATTCTTTTAAGTGCATTATACCATCAGAAATAGATCAGTAATTGGAAAAAGAACACTTTGACATTCTCCGACACTCACTGAGACGTGTAGTATTTGCTCTTTATTCAAATGTAAATTTTCCCTATTATGCCATCAAAAAGAAAAATCATGCAAAATTGAAATGTCAATAGTAATTTCTGGCACACACACACACACACACAGCATCAGCAGCAATGCTGTCTTCCAGGCAATGCTTTCACATCACTGTAAATCAAGCTGTGAAATTAGCATGGAGGAGGTGCAATGTGGCAGGAATCTACACTGAGATCCTCAGGGATACACATCAGGCTTGTGATTGCAATGTCTGAGCACCGAACAAGCCACTGGCTATAATTGTTTGATGAATGGGCTTTTCAGTTTACATTTGGGAATAGAGTGAGGGACAAAATCCACACTGACAATACCGGTAATATTGTGACACATACTCTATGTGGTGCAGTGAATATCGTTCAGTTGTTTTGAATAGCTGGCTGTAATTTTAGTGGCTTCAACCTTTAAACGAGCAATTGATTTTCAACAAGACTGAAAAGAAAAAAAACGTGCAAATCTCCACCGCACCTTGTCTATAAGAAGTGTGCTGGTTAATTGCGTGTTTGTAGATATTTATAAGGGCAAATCGGTGTCTTCGTTCAGCCTTAACATCATGTAAAAGCCAATCCCCAATTGCCAATGTTAATTCCCCCACATTCCAATACAGCAGTGGTGCCGATTAGAATGCAAGTAAATGTCTATCAGTATAAACTGGCAGCAAAGTTCAAGGACTCCCTGCAGACTATTGCTCTTAGCAGTACAGCTTTGTCTCCCTGCATAGCAACCACTGTCCCATCCCATACACCAGCTGCCATTTATCACCTTGTATGTAAATGCAGATTTATTTGGAAAAGACCAACCACACAACCAAACCGTGTGCATAATCTCTGAATAACAATCGAATAATGCAGCGAAGTTGGGATTTAAAAATATATATTTTTTGACAGAAAGGATGGAAGAAAAATACAAACTTTTTTAAAATTCTCACCTCAGGTCTTTGAACTGCAATCTCCTCGGTACTTCAGAAGAAATAATTTTACACAAATGGTCTGACAGCAATTTTATTGCCTCTCTGCACTCAATCACCCTTTCCATTCTTGAACATGTCTTTGCCTCTCTTTGTGATTTAACAACTCGTTTGGACAGCTTTATTTTATGAAAGGAACTAGATTGGATTCCAAGCAAGTCCGTCTGATTTTGTGCCCTGTAGTTAATTTATAAAACACTGCTGTGAGCATCGCTGTCTTGAGGAGCACACCGAGAACAAAATGACATTTGCATAGCGCCTTTCACGTCAGGAGGACTTCCCAAGGCGCTGAAGAGGACGAAGGGCACTTTGGTCTCTCTTCAAGGACAGCAAGGTCCCAATACAGGTTTTGCTTGCGGCATCTAAGCCCTGTGTGCAGAGTCCTCCCTTATAGATCCCAGCTCCTGGGGATGTAGCAGAGGGGGCTTCCTCAGCCAATTTTCCAATTGCAGGATCAAGCAGTGAGGTAGGTTTGTGGCAAACACAGGAAGCGTGTTCTTTTTACCTAGTTTATAATAATATATCTTATTTATAATACAATGTCTTTTTCTAGCAGAAACCATATCCTGTACTCCCTGGTTCCACATGCTGAACAATAAGCATAGCATTAATTGCTGTGTCTGGCACCCTCTTCTGGACCTCCTCTGGATTCAGAGAATCTATTAAAGAATTCATTTGTACACATTCCTCCGGGGTTTTTTTAAAAAACAATTCTAAGATGATTCACTACCAGAAATGATTCTGCCTTTGGATCGCCATGCTGCTAACCCAGGCTAAAAACTGCTAGTATAATTCCTCGTGTCACATTCAGATTTTTTAGGAATGACATGAATCGCAGTCTTGCATTTTCCTGTGTTTTTTTGCGAAGAAATGGTGCTAAAATCCTTATGGCAACAGCGTAATTGACGCCTAACAAATATACGCAAATTAGGTGAATATTTCAGTGGAAAAAAACACTTTTGAGTGTGTTCAGCTGTCTTATTCAATATGCAGTTTACTGTAGATTGGTACGTGAGTCACATTTTAAGTACAAACATTTGTGAATGTAGAAAATATGTTTAAACTGAAAGATCAATCTTTACCGATGAAAAAGCACAACCTGCTGTTTTACAAAGAACTAAGTGGTTTTACAAGTGATAGCACCTTAAATTAAGTCTTTTAGTGACACCTAGTGAGTATTAATGTTATCACACAAATAGATTTCTTTACATATTCATTTTTAAAGTCATTTTTAAATCATTGAAAATTTGCAACAGGTCAGTCAGTCCATGAGTGATCCTCTGGTCAGAAGCACATGTCAATGAGCCGTAATCCATTTGCTCGATTTTCATTCCGTATCTCCATCACCAAAATACAGCTTGGAGTGTATAATTTGTGTAGGGCTTTACGATGAAAATAGTGACAATGATAAGTGTTTGATAAGGAGGCACCATCTGAAAAACTGAATGAATGTGCAATTCTGTTTCTAATCAGATAAGCAGAACCAGACATCAGGATGCTGTGTGTAAAACAATTGTTTCAGAGACAGGCATCACAGAAATCTCTGCAACTTATATAAAAAAAATTGAAGTTGTCAGGAGCTTTGAGTCAAAGAAACTTTGCTCAGGAGGGTAGATAGTTCAATAAACAAACTAGCATGACCCACGGATGGACAAACTGGTATTTCGGCATTTTATTTGCCCTGGGTTAGTCATTCACCTCGTGTTTTGGGGGTCTCCAGACACTAGGTCATGCCACTACTGACTTCAAAAAGACACTTCACAGTAATTACTCATGGAATGGAAGTTCTTAATTCAGTCATAACAATACTTCCAACAAAATTGTCTTGCCCCAATTTGCAAGAAAATTATACAAGTTAATTTGCATTTTTGTCACTATCAGTACAGCTGCACAGTATGTTCCCTCTAATTCTGCCCCAAGTTTACTCAGTCTCAGAAGAATATCAGGAATGAGACATTTTATTTGCCATTTTTCTAACTTTGCCACTTTACTGATGTGGGTCGACGCTCACTAGGAGTTGATTTGAGACCGCTCAAACCCATTTCACAAGGAATCCTTATGGCAACAGACTGACCTTTATTATAGTGTGTTTGATTATGTGGAGTGTGGGAGAAAAGTACTTGGTAGTATGCAGCAGCATACCATAATGAACAATAGGGGCCTTTAGGCATCCTCCTGACATGAAATACACTGTTATATAAAATTTAAATTGTATTATGATTATTGCTTGTAGAAACAAACATGTGATGTGCACAAATGAAAGTTTACAAACTTGTCACGTAGAATTCAGAAATGTTTTTATACAAAGAAAGAAGTAAGCTTTATTTACAACAAATAATAATATGATAATCTTTGTATTTGAGCGTCTTATCACGCCATTGAAACATTCCAAAGCGCTTCATAGGATATACTGCATTTTTTGTGGGCAATTGCTACACTTTTCTAAAAGTAGGGTTATTAGCACCCCCAGGACAATTGAAACACTGTTTGACACTGTTCAACATAGTTTTAAATGTTCTAAGATTAAGAAATATTATATATTTAAATTTTACCTTTAGAATCTTCACAATAAATTCTCTCCTTGGAATATGCATCAAACCAGCCACAGCATCCTAATGACATTCTGCGTCAACACTTTCCAGTAGCAAACAATGGTGCAATCATAAGAACATAAAAAATGCTAGACAGAAAAAGACCAAGGTCCATTCCATCTTCCTCTCAGTTGCATGCACATATGTCCCAAACTGCCTCTATACTATATCCCATAATATTATTTCCTAAAAGAAAACAATTTGATCTGTTTCTAATTCAAATGTCTTGCTAGGAAGCCTGTTCCACACGTTCACTATTCATGTACTGAAATAGTGCTTGCGTAGATTCGTTCTGAATTTACCCCCTTCAATCGCAGGCCGTGTCCTCTAGTTTTATTATTCTGGACAAGTTGAAACATGATCTGTATTGTTTTGCCCCTTTAAAATCTTAATGATAGAAATCATGTTGCCTCTCAACCTTCTCTTTTCCTGCGTGAACATGCCCAATTGACTTAGTTGCTCCTCATAGTCCAGTACTTCCATTCTCTCAATCATTTTGGTTGCCCTCATCTGTATCTTCTCGATTTCTCCAATATCCTTTTTGTACTGCGGCGATCAGAACTGTACACAGTATTCCAAGTACGGTCTCATCAATGATTTATACAGTGGCAGCATTACCCCACTATTTCGGCTTCCTATTGATCCCAAAGTCTGGTTTGCTTTACTCACTGCAACAGAGCATTGTTGGGAGAGCTTCAATCTATTGTCAATCAGGACCTTTTCATTTTCCATACATATTATTTTCCTTCTGTTCAAATAATAGTCTCTTCCAGGATTTTTTGTCCCCATGTGAAGTACTTTACATTTCTCACATTGAATTTCATCTGCCACCGATCTCCCCAATTCCCAAATATGTTCAAATCCTCCTGTAACCTTGTTCAGATGTCTTTGAGACACCTTGAAGTGCTTCACAGAATATACTGTAGTGAATATTTTGTGGGCAAAACGCAGCAGCCAATTGCGCCCAGCAGTGTCCCACAGTCGTGGATTGAGTGACCAAATTATCATAATCATTTTTTTGAAGGAATTATTACCCCCAGAAAAGCGATTCGCCAATCAACTAACCGGGTTCCTACTTACTGCTAGGTAAACAGAGGTGTATGGAGTAAGGAAACTTGCCCAATGTTTCGTCCTGCCGGGAATCAAACCCAGGTCTCTCGCTTGCGAGATGAGTGCTCTAACCACCGAGCAACAGGACTTAAAATAGCCAGCCTGCAACAACTTAGCTTACATTTTTATTGCGAATTATTTCACCACCTTCGATTTCAATCTGCTCATACAACCATTTGCGGTCACAACGACATTCAACTCCACATTTCTGAGAAGCACAGCGAGGGCATGGGTAGAAGCAACCTAAGCAGTCTTCATCCAGGCAGTCACACAGATCCAGCCCACTGAAAATCAGGAGACCTTGAGCATCATAAACTTTGCTTTTCGGGGGCATTGTTTGCCTGAAAAACATGTTGTGCCAAATATCATTACAAGTACATATGATTACATTTGATGCATTAATCAATAAATTGAAGTCTGGTACTTCTACTTTTTTAAAATTATATGTGGCACAAATTCTTGGGTACCTGTAAACCTTATTAAGCAAATGCAATGACAAGTAATATTCACGATGGGATGGACATAAGCCGAATCTTAAGTGAAAAAGAGGAAGAGGGATATTGTTCACGAGCACAGAACAGATGGAAGTTACACAAGTGCTCATTGGTGACAAGCAACAGGCTGAGTGACATGTGATGCTATTTCCTCCCATTCCCATGGGACATCCCACCTATTGACACATGATAAAAGTAGCTGTTGTGCAAGACACCTGTGGACAATTAAACGCTCTCAATTTCACTCCACTGTAATGTACTGAGTGAATCTAAAATGAAACAAATATTTTGAATAAATCTGTATGTGATCATAAAAATCTCTACCTGTCTGCAATGGATTGATGTGGCTGTTTTGTCTGCAGCTTCCGTTTCTCTCTTCGACTCGTTTCTGGTGTGAACTCGATTATTTGACGGCCAGGATTAGCAAACTGCAAGGACTTCAATGCTTTTGAAGTTCGAGCCTAAGATGTAAAAACAAGAGAACACATGTAGAAATTGATCCTCTGATGAATACCAAGTAAATAAATAAACTGTTTAATGCTTAGGAGGTTTATTAGGCATTCTCAGCAGACAGCAGCATGTCAGTTGTATGGTAAAGGTTTCAGCGCCTTGGGACGTCCTCCCGACGTGAAAGGCGCTCTATAAATGGAATCTTGTTGTTGTTGTTGTAAAGCTTAGATGCCAAACAAATGCGTAGTTATGAATTATTTTGATCACACACTTCCTTTAATACTAACACGTTAAACCACCTGTGCTAAAATATACAAATATGCTGAACAAAGAGTTCTCGATTCTATATTCCACAATTGCATTTCTTTGAATTCAGTTTCTAGGAAAACATTCTAACTTCAAATTCCAATATTTACAAAACTATATGTAATCTTTTGTTTACATCAAAGGGTAGTTTATAGAGTTTTTTTTAAAAAACCAAAACACTTTGTTGGAAGCACATCATGTACTATGTAAGCACGCTGGCAAGCTACCCTGCGTGAGGGGCGCTATATAAATGCAAATGCAAGTTGCTGTTGCACCATATTGGTCAGCAAATAATGCATACTTCCTCTTAGAAGCAGGATTTTTGACATGAAAAATGTCAGTGCTGAGATGGCATCTCTGCAATAACATACAGAATGTAAAAAAAATTTTTTGGGTAATTTCTGAACAAATCAATTTTAGATCAATTATAAATAGCTTGAACATTGGTACAATGCTTTACTACATTCCCTTTTAATCGTTCCTATACATTCACTTTATAATAATCCTTGCATTTGATATAGCGTCTTATCAAGTCTTCGCAATGTCTCAAAGCGTTTCACAGAATATAAAGTGAATTGACTGTATATTATGTGGACTATATACAGATAATAATCCTTGCATGTGATATATATATATATATATATATACACACACACACACCGGCTGTACCCGTTCCAGCTACTCTTGCAACCAAAGAATCCAATATGGAATGTAGATTTCAGTGATACCATTCACAAACCATTTAACGTGCCATAAACACTGTGTGTACATCTTAAGCAAAACTGCCATCCACAGTGGGCATGCACTTTCAATATATTCCCAACATGATGGTCGCCATCCGCTTCATAGTCTCTGCCTGGATCATAGTTGAACGCAGCTAAATAGAGTGACCTCTGTTGCTGGGCATCATTCTGCCGTGTTCTTGCATGCCGTTCTGTGTCCAAGTGCTCCCGGGCTGTTCTCTGAGCGGGAAACTCATTTTGCCATGCTCTTGCAGTTCATCCAGCATTCAAGTCCAGCCGTGCAGTTTTTTAGCTTCATCGAATCAGCCTTCTCACTTTCATCTAGCACTTTTATTTGTCCTTGAAAGGCTTGATCTTCGCTTCTTAGGCATCTTTATGCCTTAAGATTAAGAAAACGCGCTATTGGTAGGACTCTTGTAGAACTCCTGTTGGGAGGACTCCTTGTTGGAATACATACGTGTATGACAAACTTGTGCAGGTCTTAGCTTATCAATGATAGGAGATCCTCGAAAAAACACAAGACCTTTCCGATGAGATACAAATCATGTCCCTATGTCAATCGGATTTTGTGTTATTGGCAGACACACAGACAGACATGTTGTCTTTATTAATATAGATTAACACAACACTCATATCCACTGGACACTAAACTTGCATGTGATCAACTTATGGGTTTTTTTTGGGGGGGGGGGGGGGGGGGGTCAAGTGAGTCTAAGACACATTCTAATTTTACACACCTCTGGAAAGGCCTCCCCCATCCTGGTGTCTGGTGTGAACTCGATTATTTGACGGCCCGGATTAGCAAACTGCAAGGTCTTCAGTGCTTTTGATGTCCGGGCCTAGGATTTTAAAGACAAACGAACACACGACAATAATAATAATAGTAACCTGGGCCATCCGAAACAGCGCCTTTAGCGCGTCTTTCGAGACGCCTCAAAGGGGCTTCACGGGTCGCACCGCCAAAGGGCGGCGACCGTGCGTTTTGCGGGCGAAACGCGGCAGCCAACGGCACGCGTAGAAATCCGCACCTCGGCTCCACGCTTGGATACCTCCCGTCTCGAGGCTCATCCCGACTCGTCTCCCCTCTCCCGCCGCACCCACCCACCCCACCCCCGGAAAAACCTGTCCTCCTTCCTGGATGGGGTCGCAGCCTGTTCCTAACCTTTGATGTACGTGCGCGCGTGTGTGTGTGTGTGTGTGTGTGTGCGTGAGATGGGGGAAGAGACGAGACGTGGGACACACTCGATGGAAACCACATCAGTTGAGAAAAGGGGGAGAAAGATAAGGAGAGAGAGAGAGAGAGTGACAGGAGAGAAAAAGAGAAGGGGAGGAGCTGACCCCCCCACCCCGTGTCGGCTCCCCCCCCCCCACCCACCCCGAGGGGAAAAGGCAAAACAACAACAACAACGACGACAAAACGCGTTATATATTTGATATAGATCGACAACAACAACAACGACGACGACGATGACGACGGCGACAACCCCCCGCCATCCGTTACAGACCGCGAGAGAGACACGTCTCAACAAAAGCGCTTTCGCGGCGCAACGAACGGACAGTCGCGAACTTATTGATGTTTATATTATTGAAGGGATTATTAACCCTTCCCCACACCCCCCCCCCCCCCCCCCACACCCCCCACACACCCCCCCCCACACCCCCCTCCCGGGGGCTTTATTGCCTTCACCTGTCTGCCCGGCGGCTTCTGCGCTTTCTGGCCATTTTTATGACCGGCCGAGGAGGAGTAGGAGGAGGAGGAGACAGCGGCGGCTGAGGGGGCGGTGGCGGTGACGATGATGGCGGCGGCGGTGGCGGCCGAGGCCGAGGAGGCGGCGGTAATAATGGCGGCGTCGGGCTTCTTTGCGCTGCTCTCGGCGGCGGCGGCGGCGGCAGCGGACGGCGGCGGCTCTTTGTCCATCAATGGCCACCCTCCCGCCGGCCTCTCGGCTCCCTCACCTGTCTCTCTCTCTCAGCGGTTTCATTTCCCCTTTCGCTTTACACATTCTCCCCCTCCCCGAGGCGGCCGTCCCTCCCTCTCTCCCCCCTCCTCACACCCACGTCGGTTGGCGCCCTCTCGCGAGCTGCCGCCCAACGCGCGGGATTCGTAGCCCAAACCTACCCCCTCCGCCCAAAAGTAGCCGCCACCCATAGTTAACCCGCCGCGCGGGTTTTTTTTTTATAGCCCAAAGTCGTCGTTCCCCGCCTCCCCTGTAGCCCAAAACGCCCGTTTCTTTTTCACGCACCAAAAAAAAACCGCCCCCTCTGACGCCGCGGGTGTCGAGCATGCGCAGTCACTGACTTACCAGCGAGCGCTCGAGCGGGCGCCACCCTCCGGGTTCGAGTGTCTCTCATCTCAACGGTGAGCCGGAGGGGGAGGCAGGGCGCACGCGCGGGGCGGGGCGGGGGTGGGGCTCGGACTCCGATTGACGGGGCGCGCCGACCAATCCGTGCTTCAGGGAGGCGGGAGGTGAGTGTGTGAGTGCGTGCGCAGGTGGGGGGGCGGGGCGTCTACTTCCACAAGCTCCACCCCTGACTGATCGACGTGAGCGTCGCCCCCCCTCCCTCTCTGCCCCCCCTCCTTCCCCCCTCCCCCCCCTCCTTCCCCCCTCCCCCCCTCCCTGCCCCCCTCCTTCCCCCCCTCCCCCCCTCCCTGCCCCCCCCTCCCTGCCCCCCCCCCCCCTCCCCCCCTCCCTGCCCCCCTCCCTGCCCCCCCCTCCCTGCCCCCCTCCCTGCCCCCCCCTCCCTGCCCCCCTCCCTGCCCCCCTCTCCTTGCCCCCCCTTCCCTGCCCCCCCTTCCCTGCCCCCCCTCGTTGCCCCCTCCCTGCCCCCCTCTCCCTGCCCCCTCTCCCTGCCCCTCCCTCCCTGCCCCCCCTCCTTGCCCCCTCCCTGCCCCCCTCTCCCTGCCCCCCTCCTTCCCCCCTCCTTCCCCCCCTATCTCCCTGCCCCCTATCTCCCTGCCCCCCCTCTCCCTGCCCCCTCTCCCTGCCCCCCTCTCCCTGCCCCCCCTCCTTCCCCCTTCCCTGTCCCCCTCCCGTGCCCTCCCGCCTCCCTGTCATTTCCCCCTGTCGTTTCCCCCCCCCCCCCCCTCCAATCCCATGTCATCCTCCCCTCCGTCACCCGCGCCCCCCCGCCCTCCCCATCCCTGGGTGAGGGGGGGAAAAAAAAACCCTTCAGTCTCGCTTACCGATGAACAAAACAATTGTCTCAGAAAAGAATAAATTGATTCCAATCGAAACCCGAAAGGGATGAGGAAATTAGCCATACTTACACACACGTCACGTCACGTCATGTCTCTCTTTCGTCCCAACCTCGTCTGGGTTAAGCGTGAGAAATAATAATAATAATTAATAATAATATTAATAATGGGTTCAAATGACTCCCATTGTGAAAATTGGCGTTCGCGACAGCCTTCGCCAGAAAGAAGGCTTTGCCCGCGGTGAACAGTCGGGACAATTTTACTGACGACACGACTTGAACGCCTTGTGCGGTGTGTGCGGGCGCGTGTGCGCGTGTGCGCGTGAGTGTGTGTGTCGGTTACGTTCCGGCTGAATTTTAAGTCGAAGGAGGGAATGAATAAATAATCAGAGAAGAAAGAGTCTCTCGATGGTCGGTTCAGTTGCGTCGGAGGAAAAAGAACCCGCTCACATCACAAAACGTGACATCATAACCGCACCGACCGGCATTCTGGCAACGGGTCTTTTTGAATAAAAGCCACGTTTGGATTGTTTCTCGCGTCCCGCCCGGGATGTCGTCTGGGTAAAGGTGTCCGTCGGTGTGTGGGTGGACCACCGCTGTTAAGCGTCCTCGCTCCTCATGCTCTGCATAATAATATTTTACTCACATCTCCATCTTTTCGAGGGAACAGAAGTCATGAGAACTCAAATCCGGAAAGAAAAACGTCGTCATTCGAGGTTGTGGGTTACCATCCTCTTGACTCTGACAATCTGCGTTGATTCGTGTGCTGTTCCTGCTCTAAAACGGTAACCAGCGCTCACCTTCGCCGTGATTATTTATTGAACGAAGGAGTAAAATGTATTCCCTTTGTGTTCTTGGTGGTGGGGAGTGGGTGGCGGTGGTAAATATCTGATGTGGAAACGTTCTCCTTTTGTGTTACTTTACAAGATTTATTTCCAATCTGTTACCAGATTAAAAAGAGGAAACGAAGACACTATTGCGAGCTTTGATCCCTCAAGAGAACATCTTGGCCTCCTTGATGGTAAGGCTAGTTTTAGTTTCACATCTTGTCGTGTTCCTCGTGCTCTGTGCAGTTCAGTGTCGTAGTGCAAAAGGGTACCTCGAGCACGTATGGTAACCAAGGACGCTGAAAGGAAAACCACCGCAGGAAGGTATAAACCGAAATGTTACAGACCAAAGTATGGCGGAGTTCACGTTAGGTTGTGAAAGATTGACAGCCTCTATGTTTAGGTAATCCTTTCATTTGCTGGTAAAAATATTGTTTAAAAATTTAAAAGATCCGCAAGTATTGCACAAGTATGTTTAATGAAATAGGCCGGCTTTGGTTTTGTACCTAAATTCAAACACCTTTCTGCTTTCCATGACATCTTACTCCAGTCACTTACGCTGTCTTTCATTTGATAGGCGCCATAAATCTTTATTTTATGATGGAAAATACTATAATTAATCCTCCCAATTCTCTAACCTCAGGGAGATGCATTTCTGAGCAATTCGAGCCAATTATTTGGCTGCTGATAAACCGCATGCTGAACCACTAAGAATCCTAGTCTGCAATCAGTGTGGGAAATCTTAGAAACCTGCATCAAAATGGTCTCTAATTTGCATTGGGATTCTTTTTGTTTGTGTTCTAGAGTATGGCATAAAGCCAATCATTCCCAGATTAAATACGCACACAAGGAAAGTGCCACCAGCGTTCCTGGTGAAAGCGGGCCTTAGCAAGAGAGATGATCCAGACATTGAAGAATTTTATGAAGACTTTGCCTAAGGAAGAACATCAAATGTTTATACTTCTATTTTGCGATTGTTAAATAAAGCATGAAATATGGAAACGATGCAGACATGAATGTAAAACCAAGGTACGATAGTTGTTTGCATAATAGTTTGTCAGATTAGAACACGTCTCGGCCCTTTTAACTACCGAGACAATTTCAAACCTAGGATTTAAAATATGAAAATATACAGCTAAGGGTCACTCGGTTTTCAATGCTTGGTGAATGTACGAGGTTTACCAATCAATCGGAGGGATGATCATGATGCTGATATTGTCATTTTTGTCAACTGTAACTATTCCAAAATAGTTTGTTCCAACACTAGCAAATTAGATAATTGCCTAAAACTGCAGGAATGTGGCAAGTGAATCTACTGCAGGAATGGAGGCTTTCACCAGAATCAATAATCTTACTTATTAGCTGGGAATGGAATCTCTCAGATGGCTCCGCGGTGGGACACTGGGACATATTGCTTTGCATCATTCGCTCTGCCAATTAAACAATGAATTTCCGGCAGTGACACTCCTGCTCCCCTGAGAAGAACGTCATTGCCATATGCTCAGCAATGCAGACACCAGGCACATCTTACGCCAGTCTAGCCTTCAGACGGTGAATGCAGATGGTTCAACTATCCTCCTCGACTGGAGGGTTGCGGAGACAGCAGAATAGGAGATATGCTGGAGCAATTATAACAAATATAAATAACTAAATGTAAATATATATATAATATATATAGTACCCCCTGAAGTGAAAGGGCATTTTTTTTAAAAAAAATTCTCTCTTAAATGGAGATAAGCAGCGTGATGTAGCCTTGTATATTTTCAATTTGGTATCAATGCTTTTGAAGTAATGCGTCTGTACAGATTGCATCCAGCTGACTACTTCCTGCTAATCAGGACCAGACGGGGATGATATTTTCTTTCCCACATGGCAAGCTTAACTTTTTATTAAACCAGGCACGGTTCAAAAACAAAAAAAATGACAAATGATCATTTCTAAGTGGTTGAGTAAACTGAAATCAGGCACATGGTAGTGTTTTCAGTTAGCTGTCAGAAATGTAGGAAAAGATCACAAGTAAAATCTAGTCAGGAACCTAATTTTGTTGGATTTAATGCTGGCGAAAGTATGTAATTATGATGTAATGTTCATACGTCTATTGTACATTTTCAAAAAATAAAATTTACAAACATGCACAAAGGTACACGGTACTGAACAGGCAAAATAAATCATGAGATTTTTCTGTAATAAGACTTGATTACTCCAGATACAGGAAAAGGGTAGAAATTGAGAACTTGATTCATATCCTATTAATAAGACGTCTCGGTTGAAGTGTTTTGATATTCGAGACGTGATGATTTAGACATCAAAGGCCCATTTACTGTATTCTGTTTGGGAAAAGAAAATATTTTCTTAGTGAGCTTCATAATTCTAAATAAGTACTGTAACAGTTTTTTCCATTCAACTCACAATGAAGGATTAGAAGGACTACTTCGTCAGACAATATAAAATAGGGCTGTCAAAAGCCTTATTGTTCCTCACTCACTGGCAATTAGATGCCCGAACCTCTGGGAGTTAGCAATCCAGGTCTCTCAACCACTGAACACTAAGCCAATATAGTTTTAATTCAAACCAATCCCAGAGATGATGGGCTGTAGATCCTTTCCATGTTCCTGTAAAAGTTCACATTTTCAGGTTTTGCACAATAGTGGCACAAGGAGATTTTTTTTACTATACCCAACCAGTCCTTGATATAAACTGACTTGAACAAGCTTAGCTTCTCTTCCAGAAGAGCTAATTTCCCTCCCAATACAGTTCCATTCCAATATTGGATGAAGAGTTCCTTTACTCATTTGGTTTCAAGACTCAAGAGGTCTAGATAAATTCTACAAGGCTGTCTGTGTTCTACAGGCCACATGTCTTTTGTCAGCAACATTAAACTCAGAATAAATAATATTGCTAAATCTCTTAAAGAGTGTGAATTCTTATGTGAATTTAACAAGTGTTTAAGAAGCCCGAGGCAAGTTTCTTGGACGTCAGCTACACACTCTCTGGAATTCTTGGTCAATGTATACTCACTCCTAAAGCAAAACATTACATTGGCAGATACACTATTTTGTTTCTTTTTTTAAATTGAGTTGGTTCACCTCCCATTTATATTTCATTGAAATCTTCTGACGTGCCAGGAAAAAAAGACCGGTTAACCTTCCCGAGTGCAGAAACCTTGCAGAATAACAAAAAGCAGGATGTTCTGGGATTACAGAAGCACTTTCTCACTGCTGAGAAAACATACATGCATGGTTAAGGTTAGTACAGTAGAAGCAATCTTCCCAGGAGCCAAGATACTGGACGGAGTAAAAGAAGGGTATTGAATTCCTAAATTTCTGCAGATTCTCAGAGCCAGGGATTTTCTTGGAGCCGTCTAGTCTCCTTAGTTTGCGACAACATCAGAGAATATGGGGGAACATGGGAATCCCGCGATTATCCGAATGGATCTCAATACGTTTACTCCACGAGATGGTGTCTTTTGCGTAGAATCTTAAGAATTATACAAGCAATACTCTCATTACTCAAGTCATCGCCGTGAGACGCGATGACGGAGATGAATAATACTCAAAGTTTGAAGTTCTGATTGAATTTCAAGACTGAGATTGTTCTCCAGTAACACAATGGGGGGAAGAGAGATGGCGGAGGAGACGGTTTTCTTTGGCTAAAACAAATGTGACAGAATGCAAAAATGCAGCAACTGTAGAAAAGCATTGATGAGTTTAGTCCATATTATTATTGTTGTTATTATGCAGCCAATTGCGCACAGCAGTGTCCCACAAACAGTCGTGGATTGAATGTCCAAATTATTATTTTTTAAAAATGATTTATTTATTTTGAAGGGATTATTACCCACGGAAAAGTGATCTGTCATCAACTAACAACCGGGTTCACTACTTACTGCTAGGTAAACAGAGGCATGTGTGTGGAGTAAGGAAACTTGCCCAACATTTCACCCTGCCCGGGAATCGAACCCGGGGCCTTTCGCTTGCGAGGCGAGTGCTCTGACCACGAAGCTGCAGGATTCCACGATATACAAAAAAGGTTCTGCGTGCAAGTGCAAAGAAATGAAGTACAGAAGAGAGTGCTGTCACCAAACCTTTAAATAAACCACATTGCACACTCCAACAAAGTTTCAGAACTTTACACACAACACCATTATTAATTAGTACAAGGGAACGTCAGTCAGCGTTACAACAAATCTTGTGACTTGCTCGCGCTGGCTGCTGTTTCTGATCCTGCTATTTACCAGATATGTAATAGTGGGCCCTGGTGGACAAAATATGTACCAAATGCATCACAGAGGTGTTAAGAGACATGGGCTTGCCTTGTTTTGCCACTGAAGGTGGCTAACTTAGACCGGGTTCTTCTGAGAACGAAGGTCACATTCCTTTGTTAAATGCCTGTGATGTGGTTCTGTGTATTATGGCTAAACATAATATGTAATTGGTTAAAACCGAGGTTCTGTACAGTGTGGAACCACTTTGTTACTGGCTTGATTGAGTACAGCATGTTCATGCATGGTGGTGAGTGAGGGAATGACACTGACATAGAGCAGGACGATTCGAGGTCAACGGCTTCTACTCCAGATAAATATCTTCTGTTGGACATGTGTACTCCACATATTCTTTGTAGAACTGCTGGAAGGCTCTCCTACACAAACAGAAAGAAACCTTTAACACGGAGGCAAATCTCATTGTAATTAAGTCATTTTAAGTCTTCTTGTGTTTTTGAGTATAATAATATAATAATAATAATCCTTGCATTTGATATAGCACCTTATCACGTCTTCGAGGCGTCTCAAAGCGCTTCACAGGATACACTGCAAAGGAATTGACTGTATATTTTGTGGGCAAAATCTCAATATCAGGGAATTCCTGAACATTTTTCGCAACAAGTATTAGTTTGCTTGTTGCGCAGCTCCTCCGAGCTGTAAAGCTGTCTGTTGGTTCAGAAACGCAAACATTTTCAACACATTTACATATTTGTATCCTTATTTAATTGAAAAAAACATCAGTGGCAGATGCATCAATGAGCCACCAGTACTCTACTTCGATATGTAAAGCATTATGTCATTATACTCTACAAACAGAAGGTCTCGGAAATAATAGGAGAAAAACCACATACCCTACTGATTCTGCTAGAGGTTTGGTTGAAACCTCAGACACGAAGACATGACAGGCAAATCGATGATCTGAAGGATGTTTGGTAATAAAACCAAAATATCTGGGAAAAGAAGGAATCCTGCAGTCAGTCAATGGTCCAAACCCACATTTTATGCCATGACTCAAGGAGGCCTCATGAGTTTACACTTGTGTTTTGCTACAAGTCACCAACGAAGCTGGTACCAACGTTTAAAAGGGAAATGGAATAAACTTTGGAAGAGGAAGAATATAAAAACACACGGGGGGGAAAGGGCAGGAATTAGGATTCGAGTTGCTGGTTCCGGTGAATGAGTTGGCGCCAATTTGGTTCATTGTCTGAGTGGTCACTTCTTATGCTATGATGTCTATGAGAAACCGCAGGCTCCCACCAATGTCCCCACTCTCTATCAGAGCTCCACACTTCCGCTGCCGCACACCATCTCAGCACTTGGTCTTCAAAGAAATTTAAACTCTTGAAACAGAAACAAAGCTCACTGACATAGCGCTGCTGAGACCTGCTCCTTGTGGTGGTCTGCCATTAACACCACCTGCAACTGCAATGTCTGTTTGACGTTGGGTGAAACCTCGGTGACTTACTTGGTGTTCTTTGGATGATACCCACAGAACGAAACGTTCTTCAGTTGAAAGAAGTGGCTGCATTTACTGCCCTGCCATAAAGACAAGAGGTGGGAGAAGAAAGGATTACTATCAAGTAATGCTTTTGACCAGTTCATTCATAATGCATCAGGCAACACTGTCATTACACTTCATCTGGATTTTGTCCCTCGGTACTTTATGAACGACTTGATGAAAGGGAGTGGTGTATGTGCGGGGGTGGGGTGGGGGAGGGGGTGAGATTTGTTTTGCAAAGCGCACAAGGGTAACTAATGGTTAAATGTATTTGCTGTATTCGCGGGAAAGGGAGCAGAAGAAGTAAAGCTGGGAGCTCCCTCTAGCGGGAGCGAGCACCACAGACTTGGACGGTTACTGTAATAAAGAAAACACACCTTTGGGGTGGGGGGGGCTGGGGAGGTCTATTTTAATCATTAAGTTACTGGTTTTAGTAAAACACGGGCTGGAAAAAAGGTTGTAAACTGACTGACTGAAACCATTCCATTTCGTCACAAAGGCGTGCAATCAGGTTGCTGCTCTCACCTCCGCCAAACACGTGAACGTCTTCCCCAGTTTCCTTCCAGCGCAGTCAAACCCCTGGAAAAAACAGGAAGTAATATTAAATGCCTTCACACAATGCACACGGCAATGATGTAGGTGAACGAAATCACATTGGTTTGACTTGTGCGCCCTGGAAGGCACTAGGGAATAACGCACGAGTTCGCCCCACAAAACATACAGTTCATTCACTTTACGGTATATTCTGTGAAGCGCTTTGAAACGTCTGGAAGACGTGATAAGACGCTGTATCAAATGCAAGGATTGTTATTTTTATATTCAACACTTTGTTACTGTTAAGTTATTAGCGGCTTGGAGCAATGAGCGAGTCCAGAAGTAAAACTAAGATTGTTGCTAACTGTACAGTCTTACTTTACATGGGAGAATTATCACTTTCAAAATGTCCTCTTGTGTCAAATATCCTACGGGCAGTGAAATATCCAATTCAGCCCATTTTCAGTAACGAAAGGTCAAGTAGGACATTTTCCACTTGCTCTTGAAGTCTCCGTACAGAAGTGAGAAACGTCATTGCTTTCCAGGGTGACCTTATAGCTGCTGATTACATCCCCCACAAATGAGCAAGAATTCGTAGCTGAACGCAGACATATAAAAGTGTGAGTCATCGGTTTTAGATGATGCCATAAACTGCGAGAGCAACGTCCAGGAAAGGCTCATGTGTCAGTGCCAGACTGTTGGCCAGGACACCAGGAGAAACTCCTCCCTTCTCTTTGCCAGCGGTGCCACAGGATCTTGGACATCCACCTGGACAGGTAGACGAGACCTCGGTCAACATCTCATCTGAGTGACAGTGTCTCCGACAGTCAAGTACTCCCCCAGTAAGGCACTGGAGTGTTAGCCTGGTCCGTGAGCAATCATTGTGGGTTTCTGGAGTGAAATGGGAATTAATAGTCAACATTTTCTATAAGGGCAAGATTAACTGCTCAGAACCATTAATATCCAATAGGGGAATGATATTGTGCCAGAGCAGGTACAGCTAATAAGCACTGACAGCAACTGGGTTCCTCTGCAAAGGAAACCGATTTCTGAGGAGTTATGGTACGTTTGAAGAACGCACGAGATCATTAAAAATGAGGAATAAATGACCTGATTGTAGTTGGCGAATCCGTCTGCTTCCACCGCTAGTTTAACGCCTCGCATACTGATCTCCAAAACACAGCTAGAAGGAGGGTTGAATTGCACGGTCATTCTTCTTGTTGTTGCAATCTGTAAAGAAACGCAATTGTGCTGTCAGGTAAAATCGTTGCCGAGTGTCCTATAATGTTTCGCTGTCACTTATTGGTTTGAAAAAGTAGAGGACGAGAATGTGTGTAGTTTTTAAACTTTGGTCCACAGTCACCGTTTGCAGTGTGGCTGGTATTTAGTTTACCTTCTGCATAGCTGCACACAGCACATCATTTCCTTTATGGTACGGCACTTGGACCGAACCCAGGAACTTCAAATGAAATTTGTCTACCCAGTCGTTCTGTTTTTCTATCGCTGCTGAGAGAGGAGACAGCAAGAAATGTTCAGAAACCACTTGTTCGCTTCGAAAATCATTTTTAACAAAGCAGTAAACTCAAAACAACCGGTCACTGCTGTTTTGACTGTTTTGAAAAGTGGTAAGGTGCCATTTTGCCTGCAAAATACACAGTCACTACACTTTACAATATTCCCTGTATAATGTTTTGAAACGGCTTCCCGATGTGGAGCGCTACTGAACGTAAGGAAGGTTATTAGTATTATGCAATGCATTTTTAATGCAATGTAAATTCATATTTTGGAGCCTGAAAACACTTCCAAAACAGGTTTTTTGCATTGTAACTGCTCACGATAGAGGTTTTCCACCTTGGAATTGCATTTTTGCTTTGCGTGAGTGTCTCTGATTGATGAACTCTTGACTCATTTTATCCTGTCCTCCAGAATGTCAAACCTCCCAGCTTCCCACCACCGGGCCAAACTGTTTCTTAAACTTGGTCTCATGTCCTTTTCTCCCTCCATGGTGACCACCACCAATCTCCAATGGTTTGTAGGCATTGAAAAGCACTATCGACACTAAACGCTCAGAGTGGGTGCAATTAATAATCGGAGCCGGTCAGTGCATTTCACACGACTGATGTGTCTGTGGGATTAAAATGCACGTACGTGGAAAGAGGTCCGGGTCTCTCGTAACTTCGAGTGCGTAGTACGCCGGGAAGATGCCCCTGTCTCCGGTCCTCATGTTGTAGGCCTCGTACCAGAAATCATCGGCCTGGACCTCCACCAGCACAGGGTCGTCCACCTCCAGCTCCAACTCGTCATGATGTCGGGGCACAAATCTAATCAGGAAAGGACAAGGAATCAACCAAGTGCAGCCCTTTCAGCACCGACATTCCCCACCTCAGCCCCCACCCCCTCCAATCTTCCCACTTTGGCTCACTCTCATTCCTCTCTCTCTCTCTTTCTCTCTCTCTCCATCCATCCATTCCATCATCGGTGGCCGGGCCCCTCTATTTAGTCGAACTGATAGTACCGTTGCATGCTGACATTATGCCATTGACACTGTATGCATTGAGGGTTCATCGATGCCTTTAATCCAGACGGGGAAGAACTGACCTGAACACAGCTCTGTGTGTTTGCTCCCTTTCTACTCCGTTTATTGTGCACGAGAACAGCCCAAACGATTCTGCACCTAAATTGAAAAAAACACCAGGTTTTTAGCATCGCCGAACCGTTCAGGATCATTCGGCTTAAAAGTAAGAAACCAAGTTGCAAAATCCCGCAGGTCCATATCGCCCAACAAAACATACAGTCAATCCACTTCACAGTGCATTCTCTGAAGGGATTTGAGACGTCTCGAAGACGTGAAAAGGCGCTGTATCAAATGCAAAGATTATTATGATTATTATGGTTTTAAGGCAATCTCGATTCTCGATGTTCACTTCTGACCGACAAGACACTCTCTGATCTTAGGGGAATTGTCATTTCCAGGCCAGTGAGCCTAAGACAGCTCTCCGCCAAACCAAACTACACTTCAAAAGCAACACTTTTCTTTTTTGTTTTCTCTTAAACCTCTTTAGCAGGAATTATTTATGCCATCGCCAAATATACACTCATACAGTGTATCATTCACAGGGGACATGGGCACGTGAGGATCACATCGCAAGCGTACCAAACTGTACTCTCCGATCCTGAATCACTTCTTTTACCAAACATCCGTCCATTCCCTCTTGAATTTGCTTCCACTTGACTCCTTGCGCAGCGCAGTCTGCCTGATCCATTAACCATCACCTCTCCATGTTAATGCACAAATGCCTCTTAAGTAACATTTAAAGAAAAGTAAACGTCCAATCTTGTTGTTTTGGATGTGCCCAGACCTTCCAAATGGGATGTTAGTTTTCTACCAGGTCGGTTTTTCAAGAGGTCTGACATGGTGCAAAATCAGACTCATTTGGTCCACTATTTGGAAGCAAAAGTTTGGAACAACTGGATTTGATGCCATCCCCAAATATTTGTCTCACGTCTATAGATGTAAAACAGCACATGTCAGGTGTGGAGGTTCCATGTTTAGGGATATGATTCTTTGGAAGATGTGAGCTGGATGGGTTACAAGCGCTTTGGTCTGTCCGTAGTTTATTCAATTTAAAGGAATGACACTGCCGTCTGACCAAAATAACCAGAATCGCTAACCTTTCAAACAAAGGGAATAAAATACAGTTGGTAAACGGTGACACTGCTGAGCCTCTTACTCGCTCGTTTCAAGGCATCTCTCCGCATCTGGAAGACTTGTTTGGGACCCAGTTTCAGAGCAGACACATTGTTGTAAAAGTCAGACAGAATGTAATTGGTTCGCAAGAGAAAAGTAGGCAATGGTTTTAGATCCTCCATTGGGGCCACTCAGGGTTTGTGGCGGTGGAGGCATGGCTCGCTAAGAAACTGGGCTGAAATAAAGAAGGAAACCTCAACCATGTTACGGTGTCAGTTTATATGTAAGTGAGGCGCGAGAAACATGGACAACTTCCGGGTCGTTAGGTGGCTGCGGGGTGCTGAGCACACGTGCTGTACGCAGGAATCCGCACTGACTTCACTTCCCTCCCAAAGCCGGATCTTTAACATCTGCCTGAACGGGCAGCTGGGACTTCACCTGAAGAACAGCCGACTCAGGTTTGCTGCCTACCTCGTCGCGCTGGGCTCAGTACCTCCCCACACGTCAACTCACCGAGCAATTTAGCAAGTCTGGCTACCTTTTGAAGGGCGATCGATCGAAAATTGAAGCAACAAAAGCTGAGTCACGATGAGTAGAAAACGTTAGCAAAAAAAAAAATGAAAAGGTCAAATACAAAAATGTATTTTCCTTCCTTCAGTCACACCAGACATCAATGTCTCGTGTCGCCTGGCGCCAGAAATCTCTCAATTTAATGGGTTTTAAAGGAGTCACATGTAAGGGTAACAGCTGTTGCTTTTGTCTGTTTATTCACCCGTGGGCTCAAACCAACTGTCCAGGACATTGGCTGGTCCTGCCATGGCAACCGACATAAGCCACACTGCGCAGCTCGGCAGTCACTGACTCGAAGGCTCACCCAATGGGCTGAAAGCTTCCTTTCAGTATTTGAATGAATTTAGCCCAAGGGTATCATGAGCGGAAAGCACTGAAGGCCCACTTTACGCTGTAAGTGATAAAATATTGCCCCCGAAACGTTACAGGGGTCAGTCACTTAGCGAAAAACTTAGATCTTAAATCTACTTACTGACTCACGTTCGCTGGTCTGACGTGGGGCTCAGTGTCAGTTCGAGGGCAGATTCATTGTACGTCACCATGTAACAGTCAGCAATGGATGTTGAGTGACACCAGACCATTACTGAGGTCACAAGATCGGTTCAGATGAACAAAGCCCTTCGGTCCAACTGATCTCATCCCTCCAGATCATCCACCTCACTGTCTTCTCATCACATGTGCTTGGGGGGATGGGGTGAAAAGGGAGAATTGGGTTGCTCTGCAATCTACCAAGGAATTTTTATACCAAATTAAATTGCTACAAGTGTTAATTCAACATGAAGCTCCGAAGTATAAGGTCTTAAATAAGTAAGGAAGTACTGTTACGAAGCTCTTTTGAGACGTTGACCACATGATTAGGCACTGTATCAAATGCAACGATTCTCCTTGTTACGATATCAGGCCGTGGTTCTGAATGGTTCAGTGTTCCCATTTCCTAGCCATCAGTGGAGCTCTACGTTTGCTTTCAATTCCACAGCAGCACACTGAAATCTCCCAGAGACTCCCAGAGATACTGTAAACAAAACGAAACAATTGCCCCTACTTCACAAGATCAGTTTGGACGAAGAAGGCTCTTTGACCCATCTGACCTGGTCTTCTCCGTCCAGAATATCTGCCCTACCTGTTTTTTCTTCTAAAATTGATTCTCATGTCCTTAACCTCAGCCACCTTTCCTGGCAACCAGTTCCACTTGTTAATTAGCCTCTGGATAAATAACTACTTCCTGGGACTTCATATGGAAACTTTAACACCTGGTGAGACGTCTCGAAGACGTGATGAGGGGCTATATCAAATGTAAGGATTATTATATATATTATCATATAGAAAGTTCACACTTTTGGTTAATGTTTTTGGTGTGAATATGATTTTTTCTATCACAATCTAAACAATTTGCTGGCGCTGTGGAGACAGGAGTTGTGTGTGTGTGAGTGTGAATGTGTGAGTGTGTGCGAGTGTAAGTGTGTGTGTGCGAGTGTGAATGTGTGTGCGAGTGTAAGTGTGTGTGTGTGTATTGGGGGGCGGGGGGGAAGGCTGTGTGCGCCGCATGTCTAAAGGAAAAGCAGAAAGAGCACTCACTGGATGATCTTGATCTGCCGTTCATAAAAACATTGAGGAACTTCTTTGAGAAGGGAATATCTGCTTCCGGGCTGGAGTTTTCCGACAGGCAAACGGAGTCCCTCTTCAGCACGCCCTCCTCGTACTCCTCGCCGATGGCAGACTCGTACGGCGACGGCAGGCAGTTGTCGTAAACCGTGGCCGAGTCGCTGTCGTCGCTGTAGCCCGAGTAACAGGGCTTCAGGCTGACCAGCTCGAGCTGCATGTTCTCGTCCACCACCAACGTGTACTTAACGGAATCGTACGACAAAGCGCTGTCGGAGCTGACTGAGGTCCGCTGGGCGCCAGCCCCCGCCTGACAGGCCCCGTCAGCGCCGAGCGAGGTCCGTGGCAAAGGGCGACTGCGGCACGTGGACAGGTAAGCGATCACCTCATCCTCCTCGCTGATCGAGGGCTTGGGGTGGTCCGGCAAGGCCAGGTAATGAGCGGCGTCAATGTCCGAACTGACCGACATCCTGTTCTCGTTGGACTGGGACAAAAAGGGCTTCTCGTTCTCGGAGGAGTCGGAATTCCTCTGCACCGGCGTTAGGTAAATCTCCTCGGTCGCCTCGATCCGCACTCGCGTCTGGTACTGGGAGCAGTCATCGTGGTGGCCTTCGCTGCCCTTCGTGCACTGGCCGGTGGTCGAGGGCGGCTCCGCGGACTTTGACGCGAGGGTCTCGTTCTTGCCCGGGGTCACCCGCCGGCAGGAGTTTACCTGGACGGTCAGTGTTCCCTTGTCTTTGGACAACGCAGAGCTGCTGTTCACGGGCTTGGTCTCATCCCCCAGGCAAATGTGGTCGTGCGGAGGCGTCAGCTCCCCTGCAACACACAAACCGCTCATTCACTGAGGCCCTGAGACAAGGAAACACAATCTGGGATCTCACTATATATATATATATATATTGATGGGATAGAGTGAGTACAGAGGTAGTTTGGGACATATGTGCAGACGACTGCCAGGACAGTGGAAGGCAAACTAGATGGTCCTTGGTCTTTTTTCGTCTAGCAATTCTTATGTTTTTATAGATAAAATAAAATACATTTCATCCACAAACTATTCAGTCAATTTCACTGCACAACATATTCCGTGAAGCACTCAACGTGATGAGACGCTATATTAAATGCAAGGATTATTATTATTATTATAATAAACACAGCAGGTCTACCTCCAAACACATTCATTATTCACTTCACTTCTCCTGATCACCCGGTGCATACCAGAGCCCCATTCACAAACAAAGCTCACAGAGTGACGATTCTGGGATCTCAGCTACAGACGTGAAGCAAATCCGACAAGTGGATTGCAATTTAAAATGTGATTTTTACAGGAAGCGGAAAATCTCTTTGTGGGGAGCGGGAGCTTTGGCAGGTCTCCGCCTCACAGCTGACTATTCCATTCAATTTTATTCATTACAGGATTCATTTCTCTTCTAATGATATTAAAAATGAGAGTGTTCTTAAATCCTCTTAGAAACAGTCCTGGATCCTGCGTTTCTGTCAGCTCGCCCACATGACAGATGAGCCAGATCCACACATAGAAAAAGCCGATTGAGCCCTGGCTCCTGATAACAACTTGCACTTGTATTTATTTAACAATGTTTCTTGATGTAAATTGTTATCAGAAACAATCCAGACATGGGAGAGTTAACCGCCTCTCGCCCTGACCTCCTCCTCTCTAGTTGGTGCTGGATAGATAGACAAGCCCAGTGTTTTCCCACGTCAAGGCTGTTCAATTAATCTTTGTGTAGTCACAGACAAAACTGGACAAAGTAGCAATTCTTGCACAATAATACCAATAATATGATATGTCCGGATTGACAATTAATGGCCCCACAGCACTGCTCACAAAGAGAAGCGAGTTTCTCTCAGTGTCCCGGCTGACAATCCTCCAAATAAAATTGGTTGTTTGTTTCCTGCTTGTTTGTGGAACATTACTGTGCACAATTGGGCTGCCAACATTTGCCTACAAATACACAGTCACTCCACCTCCACTCTTCACAGTAATAAGTGAAACGCTTTGGGACATCCTCCCGCCCAATGCGAAAGGGACGATACTGAATGCAAGTATTATTACTATCAATTATTATTGTTATTACAACTCATGTGATTTTCTTGTGGGAATCAGCTGGGTCCCTGGCAGGAGAGTGTGGTACAAAGGGACCCTCTGTTTGCCTTACAAACAGGAGGAAAACTGTATAAGAGCAGCGATGATTGGCTAACCAAAGCTGCCCTGCTTTCTTGACTGGAAGAGGGGCACACAAGTGACCTGCAAAGGATAACAAGCAGAAAAAAGAACGAGTCGAGTCGTGGCCTATTTAAGAATCCTTGTGTTTGATACATAGCCTTATTCCATCGTTGAGATGTCTCGGAGCTTTCCGTATCATTCTACCGCAAGGTGTAGTGACCGTGCGTACTTTGTAAGTGAACCCGGAAGCCGATGTGCTCGTGGCAAAAGTCGCGCAAACAGCCAGGAAAGGGCGTGACCGCCTTTATCGGGAGGATACCGTTGGCCGAGGATCGTTACTTCAATGGCTGGAGGGCATCAAACCCACGTACCTGTCTTCAGTGGGGAGGAGGAGCGGGAAACCTTCTCTTGCCAGCTGTACTTCTTGCCAAACGAGTTGTTGTTGAGCGTGTCCTGCAATCAGGAAACAAAGCCATCATGTGCGGGTGACAAGACAAGTCACATGGCCACGTAGAGCGCTGGACCAACGTAACACTAAAAGTAGACAATGGACATTTTTTGGCGTCTGTTTCCGACAGCTGCCAACACGGCAACACACAATAGAGTTGTTTCCCCCCCCACCGCCCCCCCCCACACCCCCACCCTCTCTCCCAAAACAAAAAAAAACTCTCGCTTATAAAATAGTCGAAACCAACCTGTTTGATTTCAAGCTCTGCGCTGCACCAAAATAAACTGCTGTTCACACAGAATAAGTCACATTTTCCAGTTATTAAGTACCTTTGCGATAAGTGTCACAAACTTACTGTGTTCTTAATCAAAAGCAGGGAGCGCGAATTTATCAAAGCCAATAATAAATAAACCTTGTGTTTGACACAGAGACTTTCACATCAGACGGGCGTCTCAAAGCGCTTCACCAGATTCACTGGGAAGTGTAGTAACTTGCTTTTTCTGCAGGGGAAAGCACCAAACAATTTGTACTATTGAGACTATTTTGACACCATTAAAGAATCTTATTACCGAGGTCAGGTTGTCATGTTAATCAGAAGCACAGGATCAGTTGGGAATTGCACTGCCGTCCTTCAGAGAAAAATTATTTATTCATTCGGCCTGACAACGTAGGAAAAATCCTAAGAATTGGGGCAAGTTGTTTCGGATGAAGAAAACTCTTTGGCCCATCCCATCCGACCTCATCCCTCCAGAACACTCATCCTACCATCCTCCCATCACAGCATCAAACTGCTTTTGAAATGAATCCCAGTGTCCCGGTCTCTATCACCTCCCATGGCAACCTGTACCAGTCGCTGGTTACTCTCTGAGTAAAGAAAAAAGCAAGCACTTGAATGAATGAACAAACAAATAAATGTAATATCACAACACTTGTAAGTATTTGTGATATCAGAACAAAGGCTCCTCTCGTCTTCACTGATACTAACCAGGACAATGTGTCTAGGGATGGATCCTTGTGTGTCTTCACGTAGGTACAGAGGAATCTATTTACACAGTGTACAACATCTGAAACACTGCCTGGGAACATGAGCTGAAACTCAACAGGCTCGACCAAGCCTTGGGAGAAATGTCAATCTCTTTGCTATTCCACTCATGCAGTCAACGGCCTGCAGCCACCATTCTCCAGCGGTAAGCCTTGTCCTGGCTGTCTTGCTGAGCCTCTTGTTTGAAAGGTTTGCTCTGCGTTGAGATCCGGCTTCACTTCACCGCTTTTAAACCAAAGACGATTCCAAAACTAATCTCCGCAGCACAGGCAGAAGACATTCTATTCTAACAGATTGGTAAACTCTGCTCAAATAGAAACAAGAAACCTCTAGCGCACCTCTCAATCGTGTCCTTGAAGGCAAACCTCTCCCCCACCACCCGCACAGCCACCCACCCACCCACCCACACCCGCACAGCCAAACAAACAGGAAAGTGGTTACACAAATTGTGGAGAATCTTGTTCTCCATGTTCAACACTGCATCTATTCAATAAAGTAATGCAATACTCACGGCCACTGTGGACATCTGTCTGTCCAGCAGTCTCTCTCTCTCCCTGTAGCTTTCTACTGACTGGTAACCAACAATGGCCCTGTACAGGCATCAAAATCCTTTAATGCTCCACATTGTTTCCCCCACCGACTCCATCACTGCAAATGATGCAACAAATGCGCTGGACAGTTTGGTCTCCCAGGCAACTGATGAAATGAATTCTCTCTGAAGGGACAAATCCCCAGACAGGGTGTGCTCTCACAGCGAGGCCATGACTCATGACTGGCGTCAGCAAAAGAGCTTTAACGATTCTGTGTCCGTAAAGACTGCTCCGTGACATTTTAGATTTACTCCCGTTTAAAGGAAATGGACAATTTCCTTACACTGGCCCTTTGCGGAAACTGGAGTCCAATCACTACTCAACGTCTCCTGGTATCAATCTGGCTTTGGTACCGTTGAAGTGTAACATAAACATGAAGCACTTTTGACGTGAAAGGTCACACACGCCGATAAAAGTAATACGTCTACTTTCAAATCCCGCCTGAAGACCCTTCTTGTTGATACGGTCACTTCCACCCCTTCCTCTCCCCCTTGCTTGGCGTCAGAATCCGCCACCGTGTATATAGCGCTCCGGGACACTACCCCATGTGAAGAGCGCTATATAATTACAAGTTGTTGTTGTTGTTGGTGTTGTTGTCCATCCAGGTTCCGGTGGTAATACAGGCCCAGAATTGAACCACAATAGTTTGCATAGGGGAAAGGAACAGTCAGAAACTTACTCGATTATTCTCATTGTTTGTCATACTCCAAAAAAAATCTCTTTGACATGTTATTTTTAAAAGCAAATCCTACGAGGCTCCAGGCTGCATGTGTTGTCTAAAGCAATGCCAACTGAACTTTGTCACGGAGGAAAATGGGAGACATAAATGGGAGACTGATTTCTGGTTGACTGCACCAACGTGAAAATAACCTGATTAAATCCATTGGGCAGGAGTGGCAAAGCAAAGCAAAGGATACTTTACAAAGAGGGTAATTAACTCAACACCTACCCCTTTGACTATGCTTTCCTCACCCCCACCTCTCTGGGCTCCCACCCCCAACTCAGGTGCCAGATGTTCACATCCTCCCAACGTGAAGGGCGCTACATAAATGAAAAATTAGTGCTGTACTGTGATACTCACCGGCCTGTCTCTGCTCAGAACACTGCTGTGCGCAATTGGCTGCTGAGTTTCACCCACAAAATATACAATTCACTTTACAGTTAATTCTGTGAAGCGCTTTGAGACGTCTCGAAGACGCAATGAGGCGCTGTATCAAATGTAAGGATTATTCTTATTATTACTGCATTTATTGGCGAATAGCACTGCTTGAGGCAATTCTTATCTCCTTACTTAAAGAACACAAGACCAACAAAGCCACTTTGTGAAACTTGCAGTGCCACAGAGAGTATGGCTCCTATTATTCAACAAGCAAAGCCCCCGAGTACAGTAGATTTTAAGCTGCTCGATTTCCAGTCAGAACATTTGTCTGTGCACAATCAGGAATCTTTTACTTTATCGCACTCACTTTTCAGGAAGAAAATATCCCCCAAAATGCTGGTTAATTATTTCATGCAACACATGTGACCATTCGAGGCTATTAAATATGTTGCTTCAACAGCGCAGATGGGTTCCAGCAGTGTTCCATTCACTGATCTATATTGTTCCCCAACACAAGTTATAGTTTGGTCAATAGATGACTGGAAATCCACTGGTGTTCGAACAACAATTTACAAACACCGGCCAACAATACGTGTTTTTACCGGTCGTCGCCTCAGGCGCCTGTGACCAGAGTAATCCTGTCAGACACTCCATGCTTAAAGACAGTTACAGTAATCTATTACGTGCTATTTTTAGCCTCGGTGAAGCTATGCGAAAACTACGCACTGATACCAGTCTTAAAATACCGAACAGACACAACCGGGTACAAATTCAGATCCCTGAAGCATTCGATGTCATCGTGCAGCAGACACACAAAATCAGCCAACGTCAGTCCCCTCCCGGTTAATTCACAACTCCCGGGAAAAGAGGTTAAACCGAACCGGATCGGAGCTTGAACACTAAACGATGGCAGCGCAAAAAAAAACAACCTCCCTGCTCGCTTCCAAAACGCACAACAAAGTGTTGGTTTGCTGCTCACCTGAGCTCGAGGAACCTGGGAGAATATGTTTAAGGTGGTGGGTCGCTTGGGCTTGTACGTGGCCATGGTGATGGGCGCAGGTTGTTTTGCGGCTTTGTCCCTTTCCTCCTCCTCCTCTTCCTCGTCGATGTCGTCCACGGCATCGATCAAATCCAGCTGCAGCATCTCCGCCTGAAATGAACTTGCCTCGTTCCTGCTTGTAGTCGGGGCATTATGAGTCTCCAGAGTCACGTGAGTCTGGGAAGCGAAGGAGATTGGACATTAAAGTCGGATTAATGAGAGCACTTCGTCTAAACGGAACAAGTAGGAGAGACACAATATAGCAGTAAGAGAGAGAGAAAGAGAGAGAAGGGGGGAAAAAAATCTCTGAGTCGTGTGCTGAACAAGTAGAGGGATGCATTTACCTGCTGGATAGATTTTAACCTGAGCTCACGTTTCAGTTCTTATCGGATGGAAATGTCAATGATTCTCGTTCAATCATTTTTATGTGACGACAGGTCCTAATGATTTTTTTTTTGATGGTCTGTTCAATCGGAAAGATGATCATAGCAACCCACCTGGAAAATTGTTCCAGGGACCAACTGGGTCTGGTCGTTTGCACACACGCATATATAAAAAAATATATTTAACTATTTATTGACCGTTTATACTCAGGCAGTGAGATTCCTGGAGCCTGAAAATGACCTCGCAGTATGTAGGAACTACATAGCTTGCTAGTCGATCGGTGGATCACTTTTCCGGGGATAATAAACCCTTCAAAAATAATTTTTTAAAAATAATAATTTGGTCACTCAGTCCACGACTGTGTGTGGGACGCTGCTGTACGCAATTGGCTGCCGCGTTTCACCCACAAAATACAGTCAATTCCTTTACAGTGTACTCTGTGGAGCACTTTGAGAGACTAGAAGACGTGATAAGGTGCTGTATCAAATGCAAGGATTATTATTATTATCGTTGTATCTCAATGCTGGATTTACTAGTGACTGTGTATTTTGCAGGCAAATGCCATCAAACAGAGGCGGTGGCTGTAAAATTGATCCAGTGAAAGAGCTATACTGTTGATTCAGCGTAGAAACAGAAGCAATGCGCAATGCCACATTATCATAGAATCATAGAATTATACAGCACAAAAGGAGGCCATTCGGCCCATTGTGTCTGTACCGGTTCTTCGAAGAGAGTTTCCAAATCAACCCCACTCCCCCGCTCTCTCTCTCCCCATAGCCCCAATCAACCCCACTCCCCCGCTCTCTCTCCCCATAGCCCCGATCAACCCCACTCCCCCGCTCTCTCCCCATAGCCCTGCAAACTTGTCCTCCCCAAATAATTATCTACTTCTCTCTTAAAACTGTTATCGGATCAGCTTCCACCAGTCTTTTAGGCAACACATTATCATCACAGATCTAAGACTGCGCTCGATACATCTGAGAAGGAAGAGTGAGGGTTTAATCTCAGATGCCCCTTCCCATTGAGGCCATAACACTTCTAATTCTGCACTGCCTGCAGGTGAAGTGTGCTAATGCAGTCTACAAGCAGTCAGAATGTTATTTATAGATTGTAAACTGATTAAAGACTTAGTATTGTCCAGACGAGAATAATGCTGCACAAATCAGAATTACGCCTGATCGAGTGGCAATGGAAATCTTCCACTGTATTGGCAGAAGCTGTAAGTGTTTGCGTCGACAGCACAATGCAATTTGTCACGGAAATTACATTCATTTTAATATGCTTCATATCTCAATGGGAGTCCTGTTCTGCAGTTTTTGGTCTCAAAGCCACATCACACACCATTGCGCACCATCCTCCAGGCAGCAAAATACATCTTTTGTATTTAACCCTTTTATGTTNAAAAAAACAAATTTGCCAAGAGCTTCACTGCCTGTTCAGGTGGACGTTAAAGTCCGCCCACGGGCTCCTTTCGAAAAGGGAAGGGAGTTTCTCTCTCCCGGTGTCCCGGCCGACAATCCCCCCAAATAAAATGCTCCCGACTGAGCCAGGCTGACGCCTTACACTGAAAAGCGATCACTTGAACATTTAGGTTTGCGGTGGGGAAGGCTGAAACCTGGTAGAAACCGACTCGGCTGAAGGTTAAATTGCCTAAGTAACAAGGGTTTGTGCTGCGTGCTGAGGCCGGGAGAAGATACAGATGAGATGTGGATGATTGAGTAAGCTCAATGCCCTTTTCTCCTTACCGTCTCATAAACCAATCTATTTAATTGATGAATTTTCTGTGCACTTTTCAAGCCGTCTTGCAACTTGTATTGAAATCGCAGGGAGTAATTTTGCCTCTAAAAACCATCGAGTGCGTCTGGCACAGGAGTAGGAAATCCATTGTTTTTCTTTCCCCCCCTCACCCCTGGAAGGTCTTACATTGCAATGTTTGGAACTACTGAATATTATTTCTCAATCTCTTTGGCATGCACACAGTCCAAAATTATAAATAACATTTGTTGCCTTCTCACTCTCCACCCCCCCCATCTGTTTTGGTTTCTAAATCCTCTCCTTCGAGGGAATCTGAGCTATAAAGATATGTGTGTCATTTGTTGTTGTGTGGACAACAGTCGTCGACTGAGGATTATCAGAGATACAATCATAAGATTTTATCAGAGGGATCATGTGAGTTTGTGTAATGTTCTGGCCCTGGTAAAATCTCCAGCAGGAAATTAGTGCTTCAAACCTTTATTTTCTTGATGCAACCATCTCCCAGTCCTGAGGCCCATTATATGTTAATGGTGAGCAAGTGTTGCTGATGTTAACTACTGTCTTAGATCATAGACTAAGAGGCTTTTAACAGCCTCACGTTTCTGTTGAAAACATCGGTGGTGTTATAGACTCATGAGATTGGGCAGATATTCCATCACTCCAACTTCTCATTAACGCATTGGAACATTTGGCTCCCAACCAAACTTAATTAGTTGGATTGCACATGAGCAACTTGGTGCAATACAGCAAGCTTCTATGTTAATTATGATTCTGTAAATGTGTAGGGCTATGGGGGAAGGTAAGAGCGGGGGAGTGGGACTAGTCGGGTAACTCTTTCAAAGAGCCATCACAGGCACCACGGGCCAAAGGGCCTCATTCTGTGCTGTAATATTCTATGCAGATGGGTGTAGAGGAGCAGTGCATACGTTCAGAACCAAACGCCTGTAAAACTACAGAAGATTTCAGAGCTAGCTCGTTCCTTCGGCCCTGGCCACACAATAAGGCAGCTTTACGATATGTATGGAGCCATTACTCACTGAGATGAAGGGAAATGCTCTCAGTGGTTTGTTTAATGACTTTCCAGAAGTGCATTCACTTCCTCTCGACTGTAAACTGGAGGTTTTAGTGGGTGGATCCAATCCAGCGAATTAATACAGGAAATGGGAAGAAAATATCATTTGTTTTCACAGAAAATTACTGTCCTGCCTTATCCCCACACCCCTTCAAGCCTCCATCTTTCATAGACCTGTCTACTTCCCTCTTCAAATCCACAACCGACTCTGTGTCCTCCTTGGCAGGACATTCCACAGCCCTAGAACTCTTTGAGTGAAAAACATTAAGCCCACACAAAAAAAACTGTCAAAATAAGTAGGAGCCGTGCAACCGACTGGATCAAAACGTAGTCTCAGAGACAGTCAAATGACCCTTTGATCCCCAGATGACACTTTGCCTTCCTCAGCATTTCACCACTCAGTGTAAAATGGGATTTCTAGAATAAGCAGCGCTGTGTTCTGCCACTAGCTAATAGCCAGGAACTGGACTCAAATCAATCTCTGCCATGAAACCGCTCGAGCGAGAACACCACGAGTTCCAATTATCAGCCGAGATGTGACTGACTCTTTGCAGCAGAATTTGAACCATTTTATTGGCAGCATTAACACGACACGCCATCATCACTAAGCAATGTAACAGCAACGAACATTAATAATAATCCTTGCATTTGATTTAGCGCCTTATCACATCTTCGAGACGTCTCAAAGCGCTTCACAGGATATACTGTAAAGTGTAGTGACTGTGAGTTTTGTGGGTGAAACATTGACCATAATAAGGCACAAAATAAAAGACAGGAATTGTAATGAACTGAACCTGGTTGGTTCACCTGTGAATGTAAGTATTGGTCTTCAATGCCACGTAGTGTCTGACTTCAGTCAATCTTCTAGAACATGGAAATACTCTGCACAGTACAGAAGTACAGAAATGTCTATAAGATAAGTAGAAATGTGGACATGAAGGCAAAAGGTGCTCGAGTGTGAATTTACTCTTGAGAAACATGGCAATCAGTGCTAAGAGATCCAGGACAGGAGTTGGGGAAAAAAAATGATCAGCCAGAAACATTGATATTGACTTGTCTTGAACATAAGTCCTGAATTGTCAGTGATGTCTGGTAAGTGCGATGTGTTGGCATTTCCGAAGCCACCGTTTCAAATAATTTCCATAAAATGTGATGGGTTTCGAAGGTTTATCGGTGCCTAAAGTGCTGGGTATTGTGGACATTAAATGAATCATCATTAATTTAACAGTAACTTTTCCTAAATAATTAACAGCGTTGCAACTGCTTTGGAACCGATGTTAAGCACACAGGTCTGCGTATGTAATGCATGTCCACCCAACCATATGAACTGCTTTCCTCCGACGGTGTTAATTATCGCTGCTCCCAATGTGATAACGCACTGAAGGAAAATTAAACATAGTACAGGTTGTGAATTCACAGAGAGAGGCCGGCATTCCGTGTCTGTTCCACTGGGATTAAAACAGGACCTTTCTGAATGAATAGCTCCAAGAGTCCTTCTTTCCTATGAAACACCAACACTATTAAAGCAGTCACACATCCGTGTGATTCTCTAACAGTTTTCCCGTTAATTTCATGTTGGCCTTTTTCACTCGTACAGAAGCCAATGTTTGTTTTTCTAAATACTGACAAAACATCTTGTGTCACTACATTGCATTGCCATCTCTTCATTTGCTTTGAAAACCAGCACAAGCTCAGAGTGCCAGCCTCCCCTGTCAGAGGAGGGATTATCGAACATCTGAAGCCCTCTCGAGGGGGGGTCTCGGCGGCCACCGTTAAGAGAGAAAGCGACTCGCGGGCGAAACGGGAACCCGAACCTCACGGAGAACGGAAAGAAGACGCGATGGGCGACGGGAAAACATAAGGTGGAAGGCTTTTCCGCTGCGGAAAGTCAGCCGTCGCCAAAGGAGCTTCAGCGTTCGCGCCGCCCGTTTCCCCCCCCAACCCCCACCCCCCCCCCCGATCTTGATGCGAAGGCTGCAGTGACGTGTCCGAGCCACAGGAGGTCGCCCCGAACTCGCCTGTTGGGAACCGGTGCGTTTGGGAATGATAATAATCTTTGCATTCGAATCAGCGCCTTATCCCGTCGACGGGAAAGCTCTTCGGAGGGTTCACTTTCGAATGCAGTGACCGTGTATTTGTAAGCGAGCCGGGGATAGCCAATTTTTCACGCAGCGATGGCCCATTAAACAGCCCACGAAGTCGGTGACCCATTTTTTTTTTTATCTGGAGGATTTATCTCTCTATTAGAATTTTTCGATTAAAATGCCTTCGAAGGGCAAATGGCCACGGTTCAGTCAATCGCACAAGTAGCCATTGTTTGACCTTCAAGTGACAACCCCGTTTGTTACTTCCTAGTGAATACATCGATGCAAATGTTACAGACAAAATTATTTTACTGTTTTCTAGTTCCGCACTATCTTCGATATCGCATGCAATACATCCATCCACATTAACATGGCTCCATTTTACATACTGAGAGTCCCCTCAGGCTATGGTTTGTGATTTGCATAAACAGCATGAAGTAGAGAAGGAGTTTGCATGCACGTCACGGCAATAATACTAATAATAATTCAGTCACTCAATCCACGACTTTTGTGGGACGCTGCTGTGTGCAATTGGCTGCCGCGTTTTGCCCACAAAACATAGTCAATTCACTTTACAGTCTATTCTGTGAAGCGCTTTGAGATGTCTCGAAGACGTGATTAGGTGCTGTATCAAATGCAAGGATTATTATTAATTATTATTATTATCCCAGGCAGTTCACTCAATAGGTGACACACGTCAGCGAGTCTGCGGTAAACGCTGGGGTTTGCTCAAGGTCAAATCAATGTTCCTCGTGGCAGTATCTTCTCTCCTCCAATGTCTCCGTCCTCTCTCCTGTCTGCGCTGCTACAGAGCAAAACACATGCCCTGCTCCCACATGAGACCTCTCCCTCCGAGCTCTCAACCTCACTGAGAGGGTATCAAGTGCCTTAGTAACGGACTTTAATGAAATCCAATCATGGTTAAACACCGCTCGCAAAGCTCCATAGTTCCTTAAATACAGACTATATCTGCTTAGTTTAATTCGATTTTCTCCTTAATAATCATCTCTATTGGAGTTTCAGACAATGCCCATTGCTTTGTTACAATCTCCTTAATATTCCACGCAAACACCTGAATTATTAATGAACATTAGGGGATACAGTTGTTTTACGAGACATATCTTCATTAGACCAGCAGCCATGCACTCCCAGCGCTGACAGCCACATCCTGAGCAAACGTAGCAAATTGATTTACCTCCCCACCGGGCTCCAGTAATGGCCGGGACAGGAGAAAATCTGGGAGCTGAAGACCTCGGGAAAAAAAAAGCCACTCACTGACTGTTGGTTTCTCTGAGTTCACCATTGATATCATCTCAACAAGCGTTAGGCATGTAGCGGCAATTACACTGCCCCCCACCCCCCCGCGGGTCAGAATCGCTTACCCTCATGGCCAGGCCATCCTTACAGTGCAGACTTATCCCGCATTCATCTGTTATCTCTGACAGGTCTTCATCTTCAAACTCCTCCAGGCTTATGTCGTGGGTTAACCTGCAGTAACACAGGGCACAACAAGGTCCAGTTACTGGAATATCAAACCCAGCCTCAGCACAACATCTCGGTCTCTCGCCTCGCATTCCTCAAACTCGATGGTTGGCTAAATTTATTTATACTGATTCCCTCTGCTACGTGGGAGCTGGGTTGAAACTGCCAGAACTCTGAATTTATTTGTACTCGACAGCAAAGCACACAGGAAAGGGCGTCATTCAGTGAGAGTTGACTGGTTAATGGCTAATGGTCCTTTGAAGAAATTGAACAATGAAGAATGTGTGAACAGACAAGTAACCGCAGCAAATGTGGTTTGCGAATATCCCAGATACACACACACACACACACGTGTCCTTTTTCACTGTGACAAACTGTCTGAACATTAACTGTATAATATCTTACCCTTGTTGATAGCAGAGCAACCTGGACTCAAATACAAACTAGTTATAAACTATTCACACGATAAATCATCACAACTTGACCCAGTCTTCCCACCCCAGGCCCTGGGCAAAACTCAAGTGAACTGTTAGTATAGAAGAACTCATCAAGAACTGCAATTGCTAAACATTATAAACATAATAATAATCCTTGCATTTGATACAGCGCCTTATCACGTCTTCAAGACGTCTCAAAGCGCTTCACAGAATATACTGTAAAGTGAATTGACACTATATTTTGTGGGCAAAACCTGGCAGCCAATTGCGCACAGCAGTGTCCCACAAACTGTCATGGATTGAGTGTCCAAATTATTGTTATTTTTTTAAAAAAAGGGATTATTACCCCTGGAAAAGCGATCCACCAATCGACTAATAAACAGGTTCCTACTTACTGCCGGTAAACAGAGGCGTGTGGAGTAAGGAAACTTGCCCAACATTTCGCCCTGCCCGGGAATCGAACCCAGGTCCTCTCGCTGGCGAGGCGAGTGCTCTAACCACTAAGTTGCAGGACTCCCCATTTCATTTCACACCATGTGATTTGCTTGAAGGAGCTGGTAGAGTATTACTGCACCAAGCAACGAACAGAAGAATCATTGGGGTCTGTTTTATGCCTGGATGCTGATTCACTTTAATGGAGAGGGAGGGAGGATGGTGAACAGAAGTTGACTCAGATATTGGAATATTGCGCTTGGAGTTTTCTCAGTATTGCAATAAATGTAATATTGTTTCCTTGCATCCGGTCTTTTTGTTTAATGTTTCTGACCTTCCCAGGTGGATGTAGAAAATCGACTAGGAACATCTATTGTTGGTCTGAGCTTTGATTGCATCTGCTATTTAAAAAACAACATGATCTGCAACAATAGGATTACAGTTCTCGTGGTGCCTGGCAATAGATAACAGGGCATGACACAGTACAATCACCTGAACTCCGTCAACCTTGCCTGCTACCGTGAGCACTTCACAATAATAATCCTTACATTTGATACAGCGCCTTATCACATCTTCGAGACATCTCAAAGCACTTCACAGGATGTATTGTAAAGTGAATTGACTGCATATTTTGTGGTTGAAACACAACAGCCAATTACGTTCAGCAGCGTCCCACAAACAATCATGGATTGAGTGACCAAATTATTATTTTTATTTATTTTTGAAGGGATTATTACCCGCCGGAAAAGAGATCCGCCAATCGACTGACAACCGGGTTCCTACTGACTGTTGGTAAACAGAGGCGTGTGGAGTAAGGAAACTTGCCCAACGTTTGTCCTGCCCGGGAATCAAACTCAGATCTTTCGCTTGTGAGGCGAGTGCTCTAACCACTGAGCTACAGGACTTTTTGTAACAATCATATCTCAGCCAGAGCTAGGGCTGGGGCCGCTACTCTCTCACAGGCAAAGTGCAAGGATTAAAGAGAGCTGCTTGACTGAAGTTCCTCCTTGCACTTCCATTAGGAGGAGAGGTTTCAAACCAATGATTGGAACGAGTCTCCTTTTCCTCTTAAATCCTCTCGCTGTTTGACCACCTTAAACCCTGCTCACTTACAGCCCCAAAACAAATTAGATGTTAGCATTGGTAGTCACGATCCAATGACTCTTGTATGCATTGTTGACAATACAGTGCTTTGTAACATGATACAGCACGGAGAAGCACAACACGGCTAGAATTATGGAATTACATACATCTCTATATCACAAGGCATCCACCAAGGGCCATCCTTCACACAGTGACCCTCGGGATGGAGTGGACTATTAGCCACAGTGATATTACTTGATGCCCCCATTGTACTTTGGGTGGGCATCAGCTGAAGTTTGGGATCATGGACGGAAAGAAGGACTGATCGTGAACTCAAGTGTCCTCATCACACGCAGCAGAAATACAAGCAGTCTCTGAAATATTGGCACACGTTCTGTAGAAGGCAACAACAACAACAAGATTCCATTTATAGAGCGCCTTTCACGTCGGGTGGACGTCCCAAGGCGCTGTACAGTTGGGTCAGGACCCGAGCATTGGGGGGAAATGGTCAGGGTGAGGGGAGGGAAGGGAGGGAGCGAGGAGGGGGTAGAGAGTCGAGAGGGGAGCTGAAGGCACAGTCGAAGGCACAATCCACTTGACGTGTGGAGTTGATTGTTTTCTACACCGACCGGGACTGAAGTGAAAGGATGGAAGGAGAAGCCTTCTGCACACCAGGTTGCTGTGTCCTGGTCTTTGTCGTGTGGAAGACGTCTTCATTGGGTAAACTGCGATCGTCTTCATCTATCGGACTCTCCGAACCAGGCTCTGCTCCTTGTGGGAATTTCCTTGCATTGATTTCCATGCCACCTTCAGCCATACTGATGGAAAATCATCTCCCCTCCTCTTCCAGGATTACAATAGCCCTGTGGACTTTGAACTGGAAGAGCATCTGTTGAGATACAAGGGCAATGATGTCCGACTGGACATCAAGTAAAAAGACCTTTCAACACAAGCTAACACAGCCAGTCTTAGCACAAACAAGGATTTGCTGTATTTCAAAGCTTGAAAGCAGTCGGGTACATATTATCGAAATGCACGTCGTACGATAAGACCAGACTGTGATATCTAAACGTGGGTTTGAGTTACAACAATATGGCAACACTCACTGGAATCACTGAGGCCAAGGACGGCATCAGGTGCATGTTTCACCAGATGAAATCGCAGTCAGCTCTCCTCTAACCCACTTTGGGTCTTTCTCTCTCTTTTGGGACATCTTTTACTTGTCAACAACATGTTTTGCTGAAAGCCTCTTCGCGAATCATTGATGAACTGTCAGCCTCCGAACTGCTTTGGAAAAGTTGTCGACCTTTGCAGGAATCGTGTCAACAACCCTCAACACTGGGAATTTTATTACCTAGTGATTTTTTAGGAATTGTTTCATAACCTCCACAGGAAGCCAGTCAGGATCTATTATGCAATAGCTGTAAGATTCTAATTTCCTGGCACTTGATCTAGTCCCTTATCACGTTGCCTCAGAACATGAAGGTCTCTCATTCACTCTTGATTTAAGAGCCAAAGATGTCTTCCCCAATATTTGAAGTGTGTTAGCAGTGCTTCATAACAAAAACAAATTACATAACAACTTCCACATTGGGAGGACATCCCAAGGGACTGGACAGTCAGGGCTTTGCACCCAAGAGAGTTGGAGGGCAACAGACATGGTCAAAGAGGAAGGTCCTTGAGAAGGACCTTGAAGGAGGCAAGGGAGAGGGTTCGGGCCAAGATATTGATGAATGGAGTTCCAGAGGGTGGACAGAGAGAGGCTGAGAGCCCAACAGACGATGGTGGAGCGTGCAGGTCGGGGGAAGTGGAGCAGATCAGTGCCCGCCAAGCAGAGGGAGCGGGTAGGTTGGTATGGTTTGAGAAGGTCACAGAGGTAGACAGAAACAGGACTGAGGAGAGCTTTAAAAGAGAAGATCCTCTCTGGGCTGAGGAACCAATGAAACCGGACGTGGATGAACGATTGATTCAAGGAACGTTTCCCTGCAACATTAAGAAACAGGCAGAAAGAAGGAGAAGCCCCTTTCATTACAGCAAAATAAACTAGAGCTGCTAACGATAATAGAGCATTTCTGTTTTCAGAACTGTTTAGGCTCAGAGGGGAGAGAGATTCACTGCTTCACGGTTTTGCTTACAGAAGTTCGACAGAGAAAGCGGTGTATTCAATGCACCCCGTAATGTGTCTTGTTCATTACACTTGATCGCTGTTTGATTGATGGCGATTCTTTCCAAATAATGGACTGAAGTGAAGAGTCAGATTTAAGGGCGATCTCATTAGGACATTGATCTTTGTAGAACAGCACAAGTTCCAAGAAAGTTGTAGGAAGTGAAACGTTAACTCGATTCGAGGGGAAGAGAATTACAGATGCGCTGAATTGCTTGGCACAGATTGAAAAACAACTAGAGACGGGAGAGAGACCGAGATAAGCGATGTGTGCGAGAGAGGGAAAGAGAGAGATGGCAAAGGAAGGAGAAAAGTGAATAGGGAACCACAGAAAGATAGAGGAAAGAGTCTGAGCGAGAGGTAGAGTTGCAGCATCAGTAACACAGGTTTTGACCCAAGCTAGAAATAAAAATAAATAACGATCCTTGCATTTGACATGGTACCTCATTTTGTCCTCAAAACATCTCAAAGCATTTCACAGCAATTACTGTCGAGTTTAGTGGCTGTGTGTTTTGAAGGCAAAAGCGCCATCCAATTGAGTGAGTGAGTGAGTGAGTGAGTGACCACTTTTACCCGGGGGATATTTGTTGACCAGGATAAATAAGTTAATATGGCTTTCGATGCACCATTTAATAAGAAGTCGCCCCCAAAACACTGCCCAGGTTCTAGTGCTCCGGAAGCTTTGTGTAGATTGGTCGTCTGACCCTATCTGAGGCATTCGGTGAAAATAGTCAAACCCATCAATAGCTGAATGGATCCTCACTCAGGTTACATAGTCATTCATTTTAATAAAGACTAAACAAGTTGCGAGATGAAGTGTATGGATTCGTAACAGCTGGTTTTTACTTAGAATCTATTTCAAAGCTGTAAACATTCTTATGACTCTTGAATTAATAATGAAAGCTCTAGCTCAAAGCACGTCAAGATATCAATGAAATTAAAGGGGATTTTCTCCCCCACCTCCCTCTCCCTCCCTCCCTCCCTCCCTCCGCAGGAACCAAAAACGAAATGAAATCTTTAAAGAATGATTAAAATAGAAAACAAAGGGTGTCAGCCCATCAACAGCAACAAACAACAACAAATCACATTTGTATAGCGGCTTTCACATTGGGAGGACGTCCCAAGGCACTGAGCACCTGGTAATTTCTAAAGGCAGATCCTTGCTATCTGCAATGGAATAAATAAGCGGCAATTGCAGGAAAATACGAATGAACCAGCTATGGCAACGCTTCTCAAACAACACTCCAATGTAACACAATGCGCTTTGTCCTTCAAGCAATATTTAAACAAGCATTTTGTCAGCAAATTGCAAAGAAAGCACCAAACCTAAATCCTTAAGCCTCTTTTGCTCGCTCTTCCTGAACAAAAGAGAGTGAAAGTAAAACCAGCTGCTGCAAGCAAACAAACTACCCTCGATCTGTAATCCATTCCCGCTTCTGATTGCACAGTTTTCCTACCATTCTTCCCAATGGTCTTCCAGCCAGCTGTCATCCTCGTGAGAGTCCATGTCCGAGGTAACAATCATCTAGTGCCCACTGTTCCCACAAATTGTCTTCAACCAACACAACATACATATGGCCATCGGTAACGTCCTCTTTCTTCAGTGGCACTGCCTGTGTCATTTAGATTCACTGCACATCTAATCCATTGCTCACCCAGGGCACTAGCCCTGCACTGCAGAGAGTCAGTGCCATGAAGATGTCAGCTATTAGCTGCTATATATACTGTACATAGATAGATATCCAGCAGAAACAGGAAATGCTGCCTCGCCTTCATCTTACGCAAACCCCCCTCCGCCCCCTACCCCCTCCCTCCCTCCCTCCCTGTCCTCCTTCATTATTTAGATTCTAAATCAATGCGTTTCATTTTCTGTACGCTTTTTTTTCTCTCTCTCTCTCTTCCCTCTGCAATCTGCAGCCCAAGAGATTCAGTTACACCAATCAATGGCCAAGTGCTGTGTTAATCTGCCTTCGTCTCCGCGACTACAGACTGATGACTAACAATGAACGCACACACACACACGGTTCACCACCGCATTGTGCAGGTGACCTCGCTCGCCACGTACACTCTGTTGCAAGTCTGACAAAAAGCACAGGGGATTTGGTTTGCATAATCTTTTGCCATATTACCAAGTTAGATTCCGGGCCATCGTTTTGAAAGGGCTTGCGCCTTATTCACTGGTGAGGAGGAGTAACGGGGCGTCTTGTTCTGTATTTCTGGTCACGTTAAACACATTCGGCTTTGTCCTGTTCAATGTCCATATTGCAGGAAGGAACTAAAGGAATAACGAGACTTGTGTTTGATATCATCATGCCTTATCATCGTGTCGTTGAGACGTCTCAAAGCGCTTCACAAGATTTACTGTAAAGTGACTGTGTATTTGAGGGTAAACAGGATGAAATGCAGCAGCCAGATTGAGATTTTAAAGCAAAATAGTCTTGCAAGCTAAGACCAAGTAGAATGTTGGGCCTCTTGGGATGTTTGAATCAGATGGTAAAATACAGAGCAAGAAAAGGCTATTCTGACCCATCCCACTTTCTCTTGGTCTCTGCTTCACCCACTGAAGGGAAAGGTTCTGCATGAACAGTCAGTAATTATCTGTTAGCCCCCAGGAACAGGCTGAACGGTGCCTGTGGGAAGAAGAGAGAGGAACAGGCAGCTTCCCAACTGACCCAGAGATCAGGCTCCACGAATTGAACGTGTACCACACTGTCCATCTGCTCTCTCCTCTCCTCTTTTTAAGGAAAACCAAGCTACAATTCCATGCACATTTGGTTGGACTAGAGCCATTTCAACTCCAACAACCATGTAGGCCTTTGCCCTTTAAAATATCGTTTTCTCATCTTTATAACATGCGGAGCACAAACCAAACTTTGCAGATCACAGAGGTCCCCGTCGTCAACCATTAGCTATGTTGTTTACTGTTTTATAGACATTGAAATCAAATCAGGAGGAAAACAGCTACTCTAGGATGTGCACTCTCAGGAGAAATATCAGTTTACTAAGAGCTAGAATAAATATCTACTAAATGTCGCGGTGTACAGATGGCTGGTATAAAAGCAGGTTTGACCTCTCTGCCTTTAAACCCCATTAAAACCTTCCCTAATGGTCTGCAAACCCAGGCATGTAATACAGTGTGGATCCAGACTCGAGGGTCAACTGTTGGCTGGCAAAGGAAATAAAGTGTTACCATCGGAAGGCATTCGATGGAACAACAATTGTTTGCCAAACCTTAATGGACGTTAATTATCAGCCAGTCAGCGAAACAGACGATTCAGAAACTGATCGGATTGTTGTTATCTATTAAACGTCTGATATAATCACTTTTTTTATCAGCTCTGTTTGTCCTGCACTGTACGATAGTAACTGATCCAAGCAGATAATAGGCATTGTGGGAGGACAGGAGAATTATTGCTGTTCTGCCCCTTTTTCAAAGCAACTACAGGAGCTGTAAGAGCACAATTCTGCATATTGGAAGGGTAACATCAATGGGTTGCACTGCAAAGTGAATTAAATTCAAAATTTGAGCTCCATCAACCCCCACCAGCACCCCCTCCGACAGCCAGGAGACTGATGGGTGGGAAGTGAATTAAAAGAAGAGTTTATGGTAGAACCAGACGATGAATTCTTGGTCCATGGCCAAAGTCCATTGCTGGGCAGAGCTAACAGTCAGACTACAATGTACTTTACATTACTGTAGTATGTGGGATAAGAAGTGATAGGATTTGCTCAATTAAGCAGAGTATCTGAAACCTGTCATAGAATTAGTCACGGGCAGGATCAATGTAACTTAGATTATTTTCTTCTTCAACTGCGATTACTTGGTTAGTAAGAAACAACAACAAGATTTGGGAAGGTTAACTTTCCAAGGAGCAAATGAAAAGGGTGGGGTGGTTAAATTAGATTCAAACTGAAGGCAAATAATATCCCAGGCAAAGTTCAGAAGTTCTAATCCAATTGCTAGAAATAACTTTGCTTGATATCCTGCAGCGTTAACAAAACCACTCACTACCTTAACTTTAGCACAAGTGAAAGTTTAATGTCATTCTTCCCTCTGTGTGCTGTATCTGGGCTCCCCCCACCCAAGCCTTGGCTCTTGCCAACCTGCGCCTAATACTCTCCGGAATTAGGTAAGCAGGATGCATCCCTCCAGGGAGAGAGAGATAGAGAGCGCATTCCATTCAATAATCTGTCTCTGGGATTTCCATGTATAGGTGGGATGCCTGGAAATCTCAGCTTGGTTTGGAGACTCTTGAGCAATGGTGATGGGTTTCCACATGTGTCAGACACCCGGCTGCGAAAACAAAATGGCTTTATCCTTCCCGAGACTTATCCCAATCTGTAATTTGCTGGTGAGGTGCTTGGGACATTCCCTGTCCTTCCTTTTGGATGAGACTAATTACTGAACACTTTACTGTTACAGTCTGCCCTTGGGGTGGATCAATGATACAATAAACAATTAAAGAGATAGTGTGTGTTAAATGGCATTGATACCAGCAGAAACATCAGTAATGTCATGCAGGCACCAGTGTCTAGCTGGCTCGCTCACCGCTACACGCTGTTGAGCTTGTGTGTGTTTAAAGGCCAAGGATTTTATCAACCATTAGAACAAAAAAAAACACCATTCAACTTGTCAAGGCAGTTGTTCCTCAGTCACACCTAGGTTACCGTACAGTGGGCTTCACCACATCTGATGCCTGTTAAGCAGGAGAGAGCTTCTTAACCTATGTCTATTACCTTATGATCACACTCACCCAATAGTGCATTCAACACTGCTTCCATCCTTGAGAAACACAATGCAAACACAACACCCACTCTGTGGCCTGGGGAAGGGAGGCAATAGGCTGTATTGATATTGGACTCCAAAGGCAATGCAGTAAAAACTGGCATCCGATGCAGCGAAGTGCTGACAGGCCAGCCAAGCCAGTGTTCATGCACAGACATCTCCAGGTCAACAACAACAACTTCCATTTATATAGCGTCCCTCACGCAGGGTGAGGTCCCAGAGCGCTTGACAGTGGTGGAGCACGACCCCGAGCCGGGGGACTTTGCAGCAGGTGGACAAAGTGAAGTGAGTCAGTGACGAGAAAATAAAATGTTATTTTTTTTCCCCCATTTTGATATCTAAATATCAGAAAGTTCAAAGAAAAATGTAAGATTCCCCACATTCTCCTCTCCTCCCCGCCCCCACTCTCTCCCTCCTTCCCCCCACTAACACACACACGCAATATTAAATATGACTGTAACTACTTGAATTACTTTATAAAAAACACGGTAAAGTGGAGCCTCATCACCGATCTCCCACAGGCATGCAGCAAATGCTTGGTAGCTTTCTTGACAGTAATTACTTGTGAAGCACTTTCGAGATGTTCGGGCGTGATGAAGGCACATTGAAAAAGCAAGTTCTTTCGGTCACGAGATCCCAATCCTTGGGCGAGCCGCATCAAACCTACATCTCACTTCAAATCAAAGCCTCAAATCCAAAACCCGGTGATTTCGAGCAGGATTGGGAAGCTCCTCCCGGCTAAACCAGCGGGAATACAGCACAGGATGCAGCTCACTTGCTGTCTGCCTTTTTAGACCTTATTAAGAAGCAGCAGTGGTTGTCCAGAGGTTGTCAACAGTGACCTCCTTCGCAGCTGCCCCCAGCTCACGGCTGCCTTTGAACCATTGAAATGTCTGCTGCAGATTGCCAAGGGAGGCAATGTGCTGAAATGATGTTACTATATATTCATTTCCCAGTGTCACGTGGAAAATTGGTTGGAGGTAAATGAAGAAAAAAAATATTGCATTCCACCTCGACTCAAACCCCAGGAGCTCACGGTTGCTGTATTCATTTCCATCTCGTATAATGAGTTGTGAGATAAGTGAATAAGGCAGTTGGGTTCAGATAATCCAATGCAATCCCCTCCCCAACCCCCACCGCCCCCTCGAACTCACCAACCAAAAACAAATCATTGAATCGTTCAGACATAGCTTTAAACTGTCTGGTGACATGTTGTGGTTATTCTGTGATATTATAATCCTGGCATGTGATGTAAGGGCTTATTAGATGGTAGGAATATCTCAAAGCCTCTTCATAAGATACACTGTAAAGTGCTGTGTATTTTGCAAGGCTAACACTTCAGGCAATTTGTGCACAGCAACGTCCCACAAAAATCCATAAATTGATTGGGCAATTTTGTATCTGGTGAATAAGGAAAACCTTGTCCCAGGTCTTTGCAGCAGTGACCTGGGACAAGGCTTGGGTGGGGTGGGGGAGGACACACCCACACAAATCACAGGTTAACTTCCTTGGAGGGAAGCAGCCTGTTCAAGGGCACGTAAAAATAAATCCATCATAAAGGCTGTCACAGACCAGAGTTCAGGTTGCTAGATGGGCGAGCCTCAGCAATCACAGTGGATGTTTCTTTATGACCTATTATAATCTGAATCCTTGGGTACATATCACCTGCCTTTCTTGTAGGGTTAAACTGCCTTTTTTTTTTGTACTTTTACTAGAAGAATATGCTGACGGTAATTTTATCCCCACACAAACTCTTATAATAATAATAATCCTTGCATTTGATACAGCGTCTTATCACGACTTGGTGACGTTTCAAAGCGCTTCACAGGATACACTGTAAAGTGAACTGACTGTATATTTGGTGGATGAAACTGAAGCCAAAACACACAAGTCTTCAATCTCTCAGTCTCCCCACAACAGCCCAGAGTCAGAACAAACCCCACCTTCTGGGAAAAGAATCTGGAATTTACAACGAGTGAGTTTCGCATTTTACCCCGTTCGATGTCCTGCTG